GTACACGATATATGTAACATGATATGGCACTTATAAATCATAATCGCCCCCCCTCCAGGTGCGTTAAGTATTTAGGGGTAAGGAGCTGCCGCCGGGGAAGACTTGAAAATAAGAATCCAAGAACAGAAGGCAAGGTGGGGCGTAGAGATCTGATGTAAAGCATATGCAAAGCAGATGTAAACCTTCGGTAAATTACCGGTATATCGAGTGGGGCTAAATCCGGGAGCGCTGCCCACTGCATAGGCATGAAAGATAGAGACCGCAGCTCATACATGTATACATATCACACGGCTGCGAGTATGATAACTGTAACCTCCAGTGGTCCGAGATGGCGGTTGGAAGGAGATGTGACCAAGGTTTTGAACTAACCGTTCTAACACATGCTGTCTATTCAGGCTCATGTTAAGGGGTTTTTGTTTCTTTTTTCTTATTTTTACCCCTCCTTTCACGCAGCGTTCTGGTAAGCCTGCAGAAGAATCTACTGTCTTGTATAATACAGAGTGCAATTTTCGTTGCCTTGGAAGAAACTCCCATAGCGTCCTGTTGTCTGCGTTACCCTACCTTAAGAACTGGAATTCCGTAACCGAGCCTCGCGCTAAGACGTCAGGAATTCCCCTCTTTGGATGCTCAACCAAGTAGATAGGGGGGGAATCACTGCGAAAAAAGACTTGCCAATTCTCGCGACTCGAGAATCCCACAACGCCGAAACAGACTGTGACAGACCCTACCCGAGCACAGGAGAGCGTCCTAGCATGAGGTTCAATTATCCCAGTCCTTACGGCACTTCCCCCCCCCCCCCGCGAGTGTGGGTATCATACCCGATATTTTTTTTTTTTTTTTTTTTCAAGTCCCCGGAATGTGAGTTACGTGTCTGTGTACCCAAGTTAGGTACTATAATTCCCGCAAAATTCTATCAAGCAATGGTGAAAGCCGTCAATCGGTGAATCACTTACAGTGTCCATTTCCCGTTCCGGAGACTACAGTATAATATCATACAAAAAGTGTCGAGAACGACAACCCGTACTCGGGTATCGTACCTCCCAACTGGTTAACCCTTAGTGTCGAAGCTTTTCTAAAAATAACTATATGCTGTCTATCGCATTCCACCGAAAATTAGCCCTTTCGTACGAATCTGGATGACATGTGATATCAGTTCTGTTTAAAAACGCATTCGACAGCTGCGAGTAGACTACCGTACTCTCAGCCTCGGCTTCCGTGCTTTATCTAATTGGTACTATACTTCCCTCTACCAACCCTTCAAAAAGTGCGGATGAGTAGACTAAACCGAGCGAACGGTTGGCCAATTTCGAAATCCACCATAATCTAAAAAAAAACAAAAAAAAACAGAACCCCATCGTAGTAATACCATGTGCAAGAGCGCCAATTGTGGCGGAGCTCGCAAGAAGGAATAAGGAATTTGCCAACCTCTTTCCTGGGGAGGGAAGAAAGGAGAAGGAAAAAAAAAGAAACGTCAGGAACAGGATTCGAACCTGCGCGCGCGAACGCATTTGATACCATGAGTTTTACTTGCGGGAAACAAGTTAATTCAAGTCAAACTCCTTAACCACTCGGACATCCTGACATATGGTCCTGACTGCCTCTTTTTGAGTCTTATACCTATCGGAGTTGGTGCGGCTATCCAGTGTTCCCGGGCTGCCAGGCAAGCACCTAAAAACGAGGGTCGTGAATTCTGTATACGTTCCCAGATATGCACGTCAGCACGAGTAATAGGATAAAAATTTGATTTTGAAACATTAGTGGAGCTCAATGGAATTGTAGATATTGTTTCATCGGTCCTGGGAGTTATTATGATATGATATCATACCTGGGGCAGCGCAGTGAGGGCACGGATTGAATTTTATTTTTCGCTAGAGCATTTCCCCTCCGCACAGGAGCGGTCACAGAACTCCGGGCAGGCGAGAAATTTAGCATGGCTTTAATGTTAAAGCTCAGAGTGCAGAGTTGGGCTCACTTATCTGAGTGTGAGGTTGGGTGGGGTTCTTTCGTCAGCGGCGATATCGAGCGAAAATACTACGCACTCGGGCTCTTTGTGGTTTCTCTGGAGGCGATGAGAATGGTCGCAAGTACTGTACACGGGATACGGCTCTCTTGAGCTGGGCTTGTGAAGTTTAAGTTCTTCGAGCGAGGTATCCCAACTCGAGCCCAATGCTCAACATGGCTTGTGGGTCTTACAATTGAACTTACACCCTGTACGAGGGCGCCACTCTCATGAGAAGCTATTCCCAAGAAGTCGGGAAGGTGCGAGTGCCGGATTTAGCTCTCGCGGGCTATAGGATATGCGATCCGCTTCGGGAACATGTCTCCCGTAGGCCGGAATCACTTAACACCAGAAAATAGCCATGGATGTAATCGCGTTGAGCTGTTTTATCGGAGCCTTTCTTGGGGGATAGAGCAATCGTTTCGTAACCGTGGGGCTGGGTTAGCGGTTACCCTTACAGTAGGGCAAGTAGGGTAGTTAGTATTGCAACTTTCCCCTAAACAGATATTTTTTACTTATATACAAGACAAACGAACTTCTACATACTCATTTACCTCCGCCTTACAGCCTCTTCCTGTTGCCCGCCTTCCGAATTAGATGCAAGGCTCATCCCGAGCTGTGGTATATGCGAGCTCGTAGTAGTCGCCAATCTCACTCAAATCCTTTAATCACAAAGCACAGAGAACAAATATAGTAGTAAGACTTAGTAGAGCAAAACTCCGTCCGTTTATTTTATCAACTTAGTCATGCTGTATTCCCTAGCCCTCAACACCTTAATAAATAATAACCCTAGCACCCTGATGCACATAGTGCGTCTCATAAACTCTATCCCATTGGGAACAATTGCGGGTAAGAATATCCGCCAAAAAGGCTACATACCTAAACTTGCGGCGCCCGTGCTTCTGTCCACAGATGGCTATGTCGGCATCGCCGTAATGCGCGAGGCGACTGCACTTGGTTGGAGCCGAAGGGGCTCCATTGACAGCAGTTGCTATCAGGGGGGCGTAGAGGTATCGACAGAGACATAGGCGTTAGAGCCAGGGAGAACCCATCGAGGTCTCACAGTGGACCCAGGTCAGCGCATTGGGGTCTTCGGCTGCTGTGGTTGCGTTGTAGTTGCTGAGAGATCGGAGATGTCAATGGACGTGGTCTCTAGCATGTCTGGAGTGATTTCGGCCACGTCGGGGGCAGCGGTGGGGACGCCGTTAGCAAGGGGGACAAATCTAAAAGGAGAATTAGACCGATAAAAATTCTTTGAGCGGTAGTTATCTTTAGTTTTGAGGATTGCTTGGGTTTTAAGAAAAGGTCGAAGTTTGAGGAGGGTCAAGAGCCGAAAGAGAGCAGAGTTGGAGGAGGTTGGGGGTATTGAGCTTGTAGTAATGTAGATTTCAAAACGTATAGAGGTCTGCTGGGGGGGGGGACTTGGTGTACCTACAGTGCAGACCATGGCTTCGTTTCTTGGGACTGGAGCTACGTCGGGCATCAATATCACGGATTCTCACTCAGTTCCGATCCCCCATCTGGGAGATTTACATGGCTGTCTCCTTAACGTACGAAACCGCCAAGCGGAACAGCGCACGGATGCGGGCCGGGAAATACCGGGGATGACAACCATGATTATCGGTGTATAACTCGCCCAATTTTCATGCTGGAACGGTGATTTCAGTATCAAATGAAAGCCATTGGGGAGCAGAGTTGATTCCAAGTATGCATATGAAGGGAGCAGGCTGTAAAGTTCCTAAGTTCATATTAATATATAGTGACGGGCAACGATACCTTTTCTTTAATACATATATATATATCTTCTTTCTTTAATAGTTCTTAGGCCCTTTAGCTTACATTACCAACACTTGCTTGGGTAACACCTACCATCGTGACGTATAGAGATATTGCCCTTAGGCTCATGAGAAATGTAAAGGATAAAGAACATAGAGATATTTTATTCATATAAAGTGATAAGTAAGGAAATTACTTAAAACAAAGTATAAAGAGCCTATCCTCCTCAGCTGTACCAGCCTACTTATATAGTGCTCTTCTCACTAACCCTAACCCTGATGATGCATAACTATGAGTTATGTGAAATTCTTATAAACAAGTCATATGCACAAAACCCATGACTCATAATCGAGTCATGTGTAAAATATAACAAATCATAATATAAACAAGTCATATAACTTAAGTGAGTCATATGCATGAGACACATGAT